GCACGCACGCACGCACGCACGCACACACACACACACACACACACACACACACACGGCTGCTGAGAGGCCGAAGAGCGACGATGTTTTTGCTTGTGTTTGTCTCACATCTGCAGCTTCAGCATCATGTTCTGTAAAGTCCAGACAACCTGTGTTGTTCTGGAGGAAAAGACTTCATCATTTGCTTGAAAGCCAAGAAAACTTCCTACTTGTGAAGCCAAGTTGGAAACTTGCTTTTCTGGACTCCATACTGGTTTTAACAGCACTTACAAACACTGGGGGGATAAGGGAAATTGGTTTATTTGTATTGTTATATTCTGTTCTATTTTTCTGTAAATAATATATTTGAAAAGAAACTCCAGTCATTGATTGTGCTCATTTTATTTATTTCATATATTTTTTGTCACTTAGTATTTATTTAAAAATGAGCAGGGTAAATAGTTATATTTTTCTTGTAATCTGTATGCCCTGGTGTACGGTAAACTTTAACTAAACCATATATACCATATATACTGTAAAACAGTCAAAGCTCAATCAGGTCCAAAACATCCTTCATGTCAGGAGGGAGACCTGGCTGGRGCCCAACTTAAATTATTCAAATTAACCAGCAAATAAAACGTTACCGTTACAACGTGAAATTTGTTTTGCAACATGTTAATAATGTTCTCTTTCCAAAAATGCATTTGTGTTTATTACAAAAAATATGACGTCACAGGTCCTTTAAGATGAGCTCAGTTTCACAGATCGGACCGATCCTGATGCTAACGCTGATAATTAACCTGAAACTCCTGAAAGGCGGTGTTTGATAATGAAGACCTTAGACTCCTACAACACAACATTTTGTTTGTTTTCACCACATTTGGAGCTGAGGAAGAATCTRCTGAGGACTGAGGACCACCTCTGCAGGTCTTGTTGAGCAGATGGATTAGTTTTTTGTCCAGTTAGGGCTCGGCCCGAGCTCTGCTGGGACCTCCCTGCTGGAYCCTTCCCAGTCGTCCCAGAGGAAGAGGAGCAGCGTGTTTGGGTTAATTATGCACTGCTGAGTGCCTCGATWGGACACGCAGGGGTCTGCACAGGAGGTCTCTGCTGAGGGGGGCCATGGTTTAATGAAGTCATCTTTAAATAAAGGAGTGGAGCCYGTCCCTTGTTGTTTACCCACAATGCACTGCAGGTGAGGCTGTGAGCTCAGCAGCACTCTGCACAGACTGAGAGGTTACCTGTGCTAAACTGAGCCCTGACAGCTCCAACAAACACAAATAACAATCTGTGTTATTACTATGTTATTCTTACTGTTTCTTCCTGGTTGGAAGAAAATGACATCACAGTTTGTCGTCCAATAGAAAGGCAGAGTTATCTGAAAGGGAGACTGGATCCTTCACCCTGTTTTTGTAGAAACATCAGTTTAATATGATGGATTGTAAATGGATCTGTTTCTAATTTCATTCATTTTAACCAGAAGTCTGAATAAAATAAACACACACAGTGTTAATTTAACACACACAGTGTTAAATTAACACAACAGTGTTAATTTAACACCACAGTGTTAATTTAACACACACAGTGTTAATTTAACACACAGTGTTAATTTAACACACAGTGTTAATTTATATGTGTCCACATGTGTTAAAATAACATTTGTGAAAGTGTTAAAATTTAACACCCATTTTTTTGTTAATTTAACACCAGCCAGTGTTTAATATTCAACAATACTGGGTGTCATATTAACCTTTCAACAGTGTTAAAATATTATTAACAAATGAAATTATGGTGTTAGAAAAGTCAACAAACACCTCAAGGTGTCGATACACCATAAATTTAACACTGAGTTAAAATCAAACTCTTTGTAGTGTTACAGTAACACTCAGTATTTAGTAGAAAAGTATAATGGAGTTACCCTTCACACACCAGGACATCCCTCTCACTCATGGTGTCGATTTATGACCAATAACACAAACTTAAACTTGAACAACTTGATCAAACTGAAGAAGAAAACRAACCAGATCAACTCGTTTTTACTCTCATGAACGTCTTTAATAATCATGAACATGAAACACATCATTTCTACAACATTACCCCAATATTCCTGGCTTTACAGAATACTTCTTTCAACACTGCATGGTGTCATATAACAAAACTGTTAAGTGTTATGTAAGACTTAACAGTGGGCGGAGCTTATTTAACACTGTTCAGTGTTGACACAACACTGAGGAAATCAACACTGTGAATTAACACCAACACTGGAAGTCAGTTTACTCAGAAAGTGTTAAAATAAGACTAGCCGGAGTWAAATCAACACCCAAAAGTTTAGCACTGACATTTTAACACTTTGCTGTGTGTTTTTGTGACTCCACAGTGATTCAGTGACTCACGTCGTGTCAGAGGACAGCCGTCCTTCGTCTCTCTGGCCGTGGCTCAGGGAGTCCCCTCTGAGMGACTTGTCCAGGATCAAGGTGTTGGACATCAGCTGGTTCACAGACAGCATGAGAGAGGGGAGGCCAGTTCCTGTGGAGACCAAACACCTCATTCAGGTTGGTGAGAAGACGCCAAAGAAACAAACTATAAACTGAAACATAAAGTCAGTAAATTAGTGTTTGATAGGTTGGTTTGTTGTAACAATGCTTCTTAAATCAGCACCGGGACAAAACTCTCAGAACTATGTTTATCTTTATAACCAAACACATCATGGCTGTCTGTTAGCAGAATATCTAATGTAGCCCTGAACGCAAACAAATGAGCTCTCAGGAAGAAACTTTAGACCAGAGACTCTTAACCTGTGACAGCGCCACCTTGAGAGCGTCAAAAGAACAATGGTTTTTAACTTTGGGCCGCAGAGGGTCGTGAGACCGCATTGATTTTAAATAAGGTGTAATACACTTTCTCACCACTAGTAGCAGT